AAGGGAGCGGGACCTGCGTCTGTGGCGCCAGGTACTGGAATGGGCGGCCTCGCTGGGACGACGCGTTTTTCAAGGGCTCAGAAGTGCAGCTCGTGGGCACCGGTGGCTGTCGGCGCTGCACCCCGGCCTGGGGCACCTCGGCCTGTCTGGGGTCTCGGTGGCTTCCGGAGCAGGCATCGGGGCCTTTGCGCATTGATGTTGCTTCTGAGGAACCGCGGCCGTCCACCACCGCTTCCCTCATTTTGAGCTTTATTCTCACCAGGCCCTTGTGATGGGCACTGCCAGCGGCCCTTGCAGGGAACCCAAAGGTCCTGCCTTCCCAGCTCACTTGCAGGCAGTTAAGACCGCGTACTTAGACATAAACGCTAAAATATGCGAGTGAAAAGAGGTGCTCTACAGGCCACCCCAGTCCTAGGACTTGGAAAGTGGAGGTGGGCCATTGCAGGTGAGCAAGTCTTTCAGGCACTTTGTGCTTTGTTACAAAAGCCCTAAGCGCAGGCCTGCGTGGCACCAAACCCTGTGCCTTCTCTAGCTGCTCCTCCGTCCTGGTGGAGTCCCAGGACTCCGTCCCGCTGTCTGTAGGCCGGTGTCTACATCTCAGGCTACACGGCCCAGCCAGGCTCTTGGGTCAGGCCACCCCTGCCCTCCTGTTTCACTGGCAAAGGAGCTTGTCCTCTTGGCTCTGCCCTTCCTCTGACCCATCGCACGGGTCCCTGCGGCATTCTCTGTCCCTCGGGTGGTTAGTTTGCAGCACCCTCTCCTGATTCCCTTCCCCAAACCCCGGTGTATCCTCACCCTTCACTGGCTTCCCATCCCACCCAGAGTGGAACCCAAAGTACTTGCTGTGGTTCCACACGGACTGGCCGCTTCGTTTCCTGGTTGAGGGAAGCTGGCTTGTGTTGGCCCCCCGCCCGTAAATGCTTTTCTCGTGCACCCCTGCCTGGCTGCCTGGGCACCTTCAGCTGTGGCCCCCATCTCCGTGGCCATCCCACTCCAGCCCGCAGCCTGTCCCAGTGCTCTCTTCCTAGTCCTTTTTTGTCACACTTGACACCAGCTGATGCACTCTAGGGGTCGTCTCACACCCTGTTGTGGCCTCTGGCACCTTTTGCTTCTAGGTGGTGAAGCATGTAAGTGAATGGTGTGACCTTGTAGAAATAACCAGGAGCTGGTGAGAGGAGTGGGGAGCAGGGGAGATATGGTCAAGTGGCTGTGGGGCGTGGACATTATTGAAGGTTTAGAGCAGAATGAAGTCCCTGTGACAGGCTCCGTTTGCTGCTCTTACTGCATCCGATACGTTTGCCTCCTGACAGGAAAGAGCACTATTGGACGCCGTTGGGTTACAGAGGTGAACCATTGTGGGGCCCCTTCTGACAGTCACGTAGTGAACACCCTTTATTTAAAAATTTTTTTTAAGAATGTATTTTATTGATTTTTTTTTTTACAGAGAGGAAGGGAGAGGAATAGAGAGTTAGAAACACCAATGAGAGAGAAACATCGATCAGCTGCCTCCTGCATACCCACTTCTGAGCCCTTGACCAGACTTGAACCTCAGTCTGCAGGCTGACGCTCTATCCACTGAGCCAAACCGGTCAGGGCCAAAATTTTTATTCCAGAGAGGAATGGGGAGAGAGAAACATCAGCACCTCTTTAGACTGTTCTCTGTGCGCCCCCTTGGATTGGCCTACAAATGTCTGACCATTTCCGCCTGTAGTAAAGTGTTGCTTTTTCACGTTTTTAAGTCAAAGCATTAAATTTCAGTGGATGTCTATGTCCTTATCTAAACAGCACACAGAAGGTGCAAGCTCAGAGCTGGGACGGACCGTCAGGAGTCAGGAGTTAATGACGGTGCCTGGCACCTCCCAAGAGCTCTGTAGCGTTGACTCGACCTCAGGTGTTTGGTAGGGGCTCTGTGCGTAATGTTTATAACCTCTGCTCTCAGCACAGACCAGGCTAGGGAACTTAAATGCGTACTGAGTGGGCTCCAAAAACATGCTGTGTCTGAAGGTGTGACAAATCTACTTAGCATATTCCTATGGGGTACAGCGTATGCTTTGTGTTCAAGCATGTTCTAATGGCATTCTTAGATTCTATCCTCTTGACAGGATAGAGTTTGGGGGCGCTTTTGCTTATCAGGAAAGGGTGGGCCATGGTATGTGCTAGCATTCCTTCAGGGTCGTGCACAGAGCCTTATCCTCCGTCACTGGAAGTGGGGGTGCTGCTCCTGTTGTACCAGTTGCTGGGCATTAGCGCTGGTGGAAAAAAGGATTGTTCTGCCTTGTTAAAGTTTGGTTTACGTTTTTTATGAAAATAGGACATTCGATTTAATTTTGTGCTCCTTTAATTCATTTTTTACTTATGTTTGAATCTAAGGGGTTTCAAGAAGCGTGCCCCTCGGGCTCTCAAGGAGATCCGGAAATTTGCCATGAAGGAGATGGGGACTCCAGACGTGCGCATTGACACCAGGCTCAACAAAGCTGTCTGGGCCAAAGGAATAAGGTGGGAAGTTATGTGTTATAAGAGTTAAAATTACACCAGCTGATCCACTTGCACTGCACCCTGTGTATGAGCTCAGTGATCACTGATGCATGTCCTATGTAATAAAAGGGCAATATGCAAATTGACCTTAATAGCTGAACGACTACTTGACCAGTCACTGTGAGGAGCACTGACCACCTCTCAGTCCCTTTCCTCCCATCGCCATCGACCGATGGCGAAAGGGAACTGAGGGTGGGTGGCGCCAGGCCAAGGCCCCCACCCCATAAGTCACCCCACACAGGGCGGCCTGTGGTGGGGGCGGGGCTGGTGAGTGGGCAAGAACAGCTGACCTCTTGGTCCCTCCTCCTGGCTGGCCAGTCCGATCTCCCAGTGGCAAACGGGGAGGCGGGGAGATGGCCCTGATCACAGGCCAGGCCTAGGGACCGTACCTATGCACAGATTTCGTGCGCTGGGCCTCTAGTAGAATTATTAAAAAAAGGTGAGGCAATAACTCAAAGGGGGTTAGTGTCTGCAGAGAAGCCTTTGGATGTGGTATTTGTAATTAGACCCAAATGAGGGTCCAGCAGTGCAGGGGCTGGTAGAAGTGCTGCACAAAGAGATGTGGTGTGATCTGGGAACAGGTTGATGAAGGTGGAAGTCAAACAAGTGACTTGAAGGACAGAATGAGTATGGAGAGTTAGGCAGGAGGCAGATCATGGGGAGTTGTAGGTTGTGACAAAGAGTTTGGGTTTATCTCTAGAAACCACTGGAGCACTGGTTTTCAACCAGAGGCAATTTTACCTCCCCTCCCCAGGCACACATTTGGTGGTCACTGGTGGGGTTGCCATAGGCCAAGGGTTCTGGAAACATCCTAGAATACACACAGCAGCCTCCACAACAAAGAATCACCCAGCCCCAATGTCAGTAGTGCCGAGCTTAAGAGACCCTGCTTAAAAGCAGGAAGGTGTTTTTGCTGTGAAGGACGATGAAGGTGCCAGCATGGAGGTGGGACTAGCTAAGGGCAGTGAAGTGATAGGGGCTGGGCGGTGTTATGAGCTGGCGTAGGGTAGGGTGTGGTGTCTAGGTGGCTTTTCAATGTTGGGGTTGAGTGGGATGACAACCCTTGAGAGCAGCCTGCAGTGGGCCAGCAGTTCGAGTTCAGTAGAAAAGTATCTAACAAAGGAGCCACCAATGATGGCTCCTTTGAGATAAGTGGGGAGTGGTGTCAGAAGCCAAGAGCCGCAGGTTTCCGGACACCTCACATCCTCCAACCAATGAGAGTGGACTGCCTGCCTGAGGCAGGGAAAGTGCATGTCATCGTCCCGTGTTCAGTGTAGCCTGCAGAGGGGGGTGTTTCTCCAGATTTACCTTTTAAACATGCCCATCACCAGTTTCTGTGCTGGTGGCAGAGGGAGAGGACCTGGCAAGTTAGGCTCACATTTCCACGTTGGTCAGGTGTCCTGCCGGCTCCCTATCAGGTTGCAACAAAGGACGGAGCCTTGGAAGCCTGTTACAGCAGTGGGGACAGGATGTCTGAGGACCCCTCGTGCCTGTGTCATGATAGGGGGCGTTGACCTGACCAACATGTTTGTTACTTATTAGGAATGTCCCATATCGTATCCGGGTACGTTTGTCCAGAAAACGTAATGAGGATGAAGACTCACCAAACAAGCTGTACACATTGGTCACCTACGTGCCTGTCACCACTTTCAAAAGTAAGTTTCATGCCGCTCCACAAGCTGCCGCTGGGGAGGGCGCGGGCGGAAGGTGACACACCTCCTGCAGGTCTGCAGACCGTGAACGTGGACGAGAACTAATGCCGCTGGGAAGGGCGTGGGGTGAAAGGTGACACCTCCTCTCCTTCTGCAGGTCTGCAGACCGTGAACGTGGATGAGAACTAATGCTGATGGTCGAATAAAGTTATACAACTGCCTTGGAGGTTGGTTTTGTTTCTGACGACAACGTAATGTTTATAACCTTAAAGTAGTTCCCAGCTACAGAACCATTTGGAGAGGTCTCTTAATACCATGTCTGTATCCCTTTTCCCAGCCCAATGGTTAGTACTTTTACATGTGTGTTTCATTGATTCTAAAAGATAAACATTTCCCAGAAACTGGCATGTAGAACTCAATTGCCATTGGCCACTTTTCATTTTAACAAACTGAAATGATGCAATTCATAGCATCTTAGGTTTAACCCTCTTCGGTCCAACCTCGAGGCTGACTCGACAGAACAGGCACTAGGAGCAGGTCCAACGTCGAGCAATAAGAACATTAAAAAGTTCAACATTCAATCCCGTCAATTAATTTGGACCAGACTGTTTGAATTCCAAAAACAACATTGAACCACAAAGGGTTAATGTGTATTGATAAAATTGTCTTCTAAAGTAATTGATATTCTGATGGGGTAATTTACATGTGCAGTTAATGTCTTAGCTCACTTGTAATGGCCCCATGAGATATTTTTAGTTCCAGTTTACATGGGGCTAAAGCTTATCCAGCCCAATATCTGAATTCGGCTGAGAATAGTGCTGCAGGGATGATGCTGCATTACTGTGTGCAGAATTGCAAGGGTTAAAGACCCCACATGGTACACTGCTGACTTAGAGCACCAGGTGCTGGGGAGGTTGGGGGAAGTCCTCCAGCCTCTGTTCACTGCACAACCCAGACCTCAGAACTCAAATAACTGCGAGGTATAAACAAGGACCAAAGTTGGTACAAAAATTTGTTATTAAAAATCTTGGAGACCAACATTGATAGCATGATTTATACACAACATTTTTGTAAGGAAAGTGAATACAACCAAATATATTAAAATGGTTTCAATTACCAGCATTGAAACAAAATTTGTGCAAAGAAAAAGCCAGATGCAATTGCACAGACAGTGGCTCTTCCATCTTCAAAGTGAACTTGACTCTAGACCTCCCATTATCCAAGTGAAAAATGAGCTTGGGCGTTTCTTAGTCTGGGTTAGCATCAAGCATTGGACCCGTGTTCTATCTGAATGAAAGCATCACAGCAGCGGTGCCTATTTCACTGAATCTGATGGTCAAACAGCCTGGCCTGGCTGCTGCGGCTCGGTTTGTTCGCACCGGAAAGCTACAGATTTGATTCCCAGTTAGGGCACATGACAGGTTGCAGGTCCCATCCCAGGCCAGGGTTTGTATGGGAGGCAACCAACATCAATGTCTCTCCCTCTTAATAAAGAACACAATATTGAGGGTTGCATCAGTTCTGGCCACATTTGGGGCTGTCAGGTTGCTTACCTGGATGCCCAGAACGAAGACTATACTCAGAATGAATGAGACTGAAATCTGGATTTATGGGGCTGACAATCCACAAATGGGTGGTTCTTGCTTTGTTATGGCCAACTCATTCAGCAAGTCACTATCTTGCTTAAGTTCAGGCAGTGATTGGCTACTCATTTCAAAAGTTTTGAGGTTGTACTGATTGATCTTGGCATTTTCAAGTTTGGATTTAATGTCCAGTGGCTTTTCAAAAAAGTTTACTAATGACTGTTCAGTCAGAAGTGAAGCTAAAATGTGTTCAAGTGAGATTGTCCAGTCCCCTTCCGCCTCTTCAGGAAATGCCCTGGTGTTCTGGGGAGCTCTCCCAGTGTCCGTGTCCATAAAAACAGAGTCCTGCTCAGGAGAAGGTGCTGAGGCCCGCGGCCCCTCCCCGCTGTCCTGGGAGCAGCTCCTGGAGCTGCTACTGCTGCTGTGCTGCCCCACCTCCCCGATCTGTAGCAGGAGCGTGGTGACGGTGGCAATGGCTTGGTACAAGTCGTTTTCCTCTGGGTCTTCGTGGAACATGCTGTACAAAGTTTTACAGAACTGGATAAATTCTTTCTGGAATACAGAAAAGTATATAGCAGCATGACCAGGATGGAAGTATAGTGCATTCTTTAAAGAACTTGGAAGCAAAACATGAGAAAAGGTAGCCTCTGCCCTTTGCCTCCAAGGAATTAACAGCCAACTCAGAAGTGTGCTATTCATCTACACAGCTATTGAGTGTGTGCACACCTTTCAACCCACAAGTGCTGGGATGTGGCATAGAAACCAAGGTTTTGAAGATTCAACTGCTGTCATACCGATGAAGCAACTGGAGTGTACTAGTTTTTTAGGGAAGAAAGCTGTGTCCACAGTGCCCCCCTATGTTATCACCAGGAAAGAAACTGACTCTTGATCGCAACCTGGGTAAATGGGTGTGATAGAAAAACCTTTCAAAGACATGAACCAGCCCTGGCTAGTTTGATTCTGGCTCAAGCCTAAGCCTGTGGACCAAAGGGTCCTGGGTTTGATAACGGTCAAGGGCACATGCCCAGGTTGTGGGCTTGATCCCCAGTAAGGGGTATTCGGGAGGCAGCTGGTCAATGATTCCCTCTCATTGATGTTTCTATCTCCCTCTCTCTGAAGTCAAAAATATTTTCAAAAAAGATAGGAAGCAGTGTGTCCTGTTTTGAAGACATTTTAATTACCACAGTGTCTAGCTCCCAGAAGTTACAAAACCCTTTGATTACGGCTTTGGTGGTAAAGGAGCCCCAGCTTAATTATTAGGCTTACTTCTGAACAGATCGACAAAAGTTAATTCACACAGAATATAGTCCATACCTGGCTCATTTGGGGCAACTCAGTCTCAGATTTAGCTTTTTCTTTGGCTAAATCCTTTATCATCTGCTTTAGTTGTTTCTTATAGTCGGAGGCATCATCTGAGAGAAAGGAAACAATATATAGTTTAATTTCAGTAAAAGCAAAACAGAAGGGGAGATGAGAAATTAAACCAAGATCTACAAACAGCCTAGGTAAATGGGAGAGGGCAAGGGACCACAAAGGGGGTGTGGCTGCTGGGTTACTTGCTACTAGAGGACTGCAGGCAGTCACTTGGGACACTGCAGCCCTGTGGGCTCCTGGCCTTGGGAAGCAGTGCTCAGTACTGAGTCTCAGGACGGGGAAAGTCTAAGGAGAGCTGCCATCTGGCTCCTGACAGTGAAAAGGTACATGCCATTTGCTTTCCCAAAGACCAGGGGTCTTGATGTGGACAGCAGAGGGTTCTTCAGTGGTGACTGGCTGTCGTGGTCATCTTCAGTGAGGGCTTAAAAAGAGATTGAACAAATTACTGTAACCAAAATCAAAGCTTTTGGGGTAAAGAAGCTAACAGATAAGTAAGCTAAGCCAGCAGCCCCAACCTCAGCTGTAGCCTTTGCACAGTCTGCGGAGCCCAGTGCACACCAAGGTGATGCCTTTCCCTGGTTCCAGTCCTGCTGCGGTTAATGACGTGCCAGTTCATAGGACTGATAGGCACTGGCCGGAAGTGTGTGGAGTAAGATCCATTGTATTTAAATACAAGTCAGTTTATATGTACGTATGTCCTACACACAAATTTTACACAGAATCTTGAGATGGGATAACAGGTAATTTAAACTTCTAGTGTTTTCCTCTGAGCACATGCTGTTATATAATTTCTAACAAATTGCAGAAAGCTTTACTGGATGCAAAGCACTTTATTACAAGTTTTGAATTGCACAAAGGTCCAGTTATATCAGAACCCTGAGGCACTGCTGATGGAGTAGAAGGTATTACAGCCCTTTGGGAAGGAGTCTGGCAGTTCCTCAAAAAGTTAAACATGCCGAAACCGGTTTGGCTCAGTGGATAGAGCGTCGGCCTGCGGACTGAAGGGTCCCAGGTTTGATTCTGGTCAGGGGCATGTGCCTGGGTTGCGGGCACATCCCCAGTGGGAGATGTGCGGGAGGCGGCTGATGGATGTTTCTCTCTCATCTGGCTCTCTCTCTCCCTTCCTCTCTGTAAAAAATCAATAAAATATATTTTTTAAAAAAATTAAACATAAATAACTATTCAACCCCAAAATTCCACTAGACAGGTAGGTATACACCAAATGGAAATGGAAAAGTGTCAGCTCAAAAACTTGTACACCGATGCCTGTAGCAGCGTTGTTCCTAAGAATTGGTGAATGGATAAATTATGGCATGCCCGTAAATCTGAGTATCACATTCAGCCACAAATGACATATTGGTACATGCTGCCACCCTGATGAACCTTTAAAACGTACTAAGTGAAAGCAGCCAGACAAAAAAGAGCACATACCACATGATTCCCTTTCTATGAAATGCCTGGACAAGGCAAGTATGTAGACTCCACAGAGCAGTGGTTCTCAACCTTCCTAATGCCACGACCCTTTAATACAGTTCATGTTGTGATCCCCAACCATAAAATTACTTTTGTTGCTACTTTATAACTAATTTTGCTACTGTTAGGAATCTACACTAATAAAAGAGAAACATGGTAATTGGCATACGACCGCTACCCTTCCCATTGGCTAATCAGCGAGATATGCAAATTA